GCCAATAGAACCTATAAACGAGCATCATGTGCCTGCTGCTAATATGTTCTCATCGAGACCTGGAGGTGTAGGACAGCTTCTGGCAAAATGCGATAACGTCTCCAGAACGATGGTGCACTGGTGGCTACTCATCTCGTACCTGCTGACGAAGCATCACTCTCAAGCCTCGATGACAGGAGTGAGCTTCCGGACACGCCTCGAAATGTCGCCGCCTAGGTGTCTCTAGTCGTATACCGACCAAAACACAGACAAAGACAAAGAAGCGTCGATACAACACAGGATCAGTCGCTCGATCTTATATACAAACACGACTACATTTAACGGCTAACACCAAGAAGGCGAAGACAATAGATTAAGTATGTGGACTGATGAAATAAAGCGTGCAATTGAGGGTATGTATTACGTGGTGTGCGGCTTTGAGTTGGCATGACCACTTGGTTGGTTATTGTGATCAAAGTGGCATTCGTTTTAAAATGAAGCGCCAGCCGCCTTCCCGCCAGCCTGTAAGCCGTTCATGGAGAGAGTTTTACGTAATACTTTACTGGTGTTGTTGTCAGAGGCGGGTGATGGCATGGCTACTGGTGGGGTGAAGACGCTGGTGAGTGACAGGGTGGAAGAGTAGCCGAGACGCCCAGAGCGACGAGGCCACAGGCAAGTGCCATTGTGGGGTGTACTACCTGGCGTACGGCCTCGAGATGTGGGCGTGAGCTACATGGTGTACGTCCCCGAGACGGTGGAGATGCGAGATAGAAGGTGGGCTCGAAGTGGCATTCGACGGACATGTCTGCGTCGGCCTGCGAGTCGTACGTGTACTGGATAGGTGATATTGTACCTTTATCAGCGACAGACGACGCCTTGGGTACTGTTGCAGCGAAGACGGTCGCGAATAGCGGAATTGCGGAGAAGTTACCGCATCGCCGACGCAGACAAGAATGTGACGGTGGGCATGCACTTCATGATGAGCGGTGGGCGTGAGTTACATGGCGTACGACTCCGAGATAGTGGGGATGCAAGTTAAATGATGGGTTCGTAATGATGGCGCCGGACACGACCACGTCGATTTGCGAGTCGTTCATGTACGACTTTGGCGGCATTGTACCTTTGTTATTGGGGGGGGGAGGGGGGCTACTGCTCGTCAAAAGAAGGAGGCACTGGCAGCTAGTCGTAGCGGACATCTTCTTGCCTAGCGCCGACGCAGTAATGACGGTACGGCTCAAAAGCGACGCGCTCTTCAGGACACCACGACAGTTCAACTTTCAATACAAAAGGCGAGTGTATAAGAGTGGCTCTAAAAATGAAAGGTAGTGCATCGTTCTAAATCAGGTCCACATTCAATTCCCAAGTTGAAACAGTAACTCTTCATGCGTTGACCACGGATATAGTCCACGAATTGCGTAGCACGATAAGCAAATCATTGGATTCCATGTATTCATCATGTCGCACAAGCCACGATCAGCAGAGCCAATGCACTACGTACGGCGCATACTGCCGCTAAGATTCCGGTCTTATGTATGCTACCCTTGCCAATAACATACACCTTCAATCGACTGGTATCCTTTTAAGCATCCTAGATATCTGACGTCTCCATGATCTTCGCGCACTTGCATGTCCCCGCGTCGCGCCAGGTACCTCTGTAGCTCTTCCACTAGCCACCGTATTTGCTGCAAAACAGTACCCAAGGCGTCCCCCCCCCGGCCTTAGACTGTACCGCTTCCTCCTGTTTAGCAGTCCGACGGGCATCTCGAGCTGCCAAATTCTACAAGCAACCTCTTCAAATGTTCCATCCAGCCAGCCTTCTTGTACTCTCCGGCAAAAATGTACATAGGAGGAATGTAACCTCCAGCAGAATTAACACACACCATTTCACGGTCATGTGAGCGTGTTAGCGACGAGGCCTCGAGAGCACAAAACTCGTATTTTTACTGATCCTTGTGCACATTCGCCGGTCTCGTCACAGTTCCAGACACATTCGGAAGCCACACCACTGATGACAGGCTAAAGCCTTCCGGCAAATCCACGGACAATCTCCTCTGCTGAGTGTTCGACCCGCTTCTCGTCCAAGTTCTATGCCCACCGAAACGACACCTCCTTCTTGTGTCTCTAATGAATCTTGATATCCACTGCCGGCTCAGAAATTCTGGAGGAAGGTTTCCACCCGGTTAATGAGCCTACGCACACAGTCGAATAATATAGCGGGCTTCTGGCTCTTCAATACAAAATTCCATATGAGAGCGAGCAGCGACAACCTCCAGCTCTCCCTGTGGCCCACCGTCAGATACGTACCCCCCCCATTCTTCATGTGCATGTCGACGACGCCATGAACCCTACGACGAAGTGCTTCCCTATTGACTCCAGGAAAGGTATTTTCAGCTGTCCGGAAGGACATGCCGTGCAGTACGGCGTGAACAGCATGGTCCCACGGTGGCACGCTGTCGACTATGTTGAGCTGGCCACCGCGCCTCTGCTTGTGGGGAAAATTGAGTTCTGAAAACTGCATTGACCCCTATAACATCTCTGCTCACGACAAGCGCGATCTTGTTGACGAATACGACGTGAAAGGCAATCAGATCCGTAAGTGAAAATAAACATTGTTTTATGGACATCTTGTTTTTTTCTAATGGTGGAACTGGCTCGCATTATGTCGTGGTTCCGTTTATGTAGACCACGGATAATACCACCGCATAGAATATTCAAGGAAAAACGGGAAGGCTGAGCATGAATAATCAGCGATAGGAAAAGAGGTTAAGATGTCCGAGGACTTTATTAGACCATAACCGAATTCACCGCTGTACAAGTAGTGCACCTCTTCCGTGCCACTTAGCCATGGAACCAAACACTGGAGGATGCGGAGGCGTTCGCTTTAGAGGAGACGAATCAGCTGATAACGCAGCTCAAAAATCCTCAAGAAGTCTACGAAAACGCTCGGGATGATAAAGAATGGGATTCCTACAGTTGGGAGTGCATTTCAGTTTCAAGCCGGGAGGGGGGGGGCAATGATGACAGTGTCGTATGTAGGCTTAGTCGATCAAATGGCGAGCACTTAGCACAAGGCCTCGATTGAGGTTTACTGGAGTGACACACTTATATGGGCCAACGCGAGCTCCCTAAAACCATGGCGCGGAATCCAAGCAATTAGAAATCACTTGCGGATTTCATCACCCTTGAACCCACCCTCCAGAAAAAAACAATGGCCGTCTATGGCACAGCAGATATCTCTCAAATCACTTTCAAAAGATTTGTAGGCGCTAGCCGTTTCGACAGGGGCATCTTCGCTATATGAGAGCTCGCACATAAGAAAAATCATACATGTCAGTTAAACCAGATGGGTACGCCAAACGGTTCTACGCGGTAGTGGGCTGGGATACATCTTACGTCCACGCTTTGTGAGATAATTGATCGGGTCTATTTTTCGGAGCTATAATCTGGAGAAAGCTATGTTCTATCATTCCCGATTTTGCGTGAAAGCGTTCTGCGATGCGATCTGTACCTGGTATTGAGCTTGACACAGACTCAGCATCGGTTTCGGTCATGGCAGGCCACCAAACAAAAATGCTGCGGTCTCCGGAATGTAATACACTACTGATCGTGTGTAGTAATTTCTACACCATGCACGTATTCGCGAAAGCGGTACTCACATTCACCGATGGTGATATGCGCTTGTTGGGTACTGTGCGATTATTGTTTTGGACAAATGGAATCGAGTTGAGATGTTAAAAGTCAAGGAACGCGTTGAGCGCGGCGTGCGGCAGTTGATCGCGGCGGTAGACCCAGCGCCAGGATGAAAAAAAGGAAGATGTACACAACCGTTCTCAGCGCCCCGTGCGTAAGAAGGATCGTATCCCGTTTCGGTCAGTCGCTCCTGTCATGATTTCCCCACACGCAGGCGTCGTTAAACTCATGGATTCCAATACTGTTATTTTTATATGAACAATTTAGCTACAACGATGACGCAATGAGCTGTTTCATCAATCTCCGCAGAAGCCATCGAATGTACGCATGGGCTTCACTCAATTTCCAGTTGGATCGGAGACGAGATAATGCACCAAACCATATTGCAGGTATTGGCGATAATAGCTGCCTACATCATGTTTATGATTGCAGCGGATCGAGTTGATCAACGACGCAGTACAACTCCCACCCATCGAAACGAAACCCTCCTCACCAAGTCTCCTTTAACGTGGTCACTTGACATTTGCATAATCAACGCGTTCGCACTGATGAAACCTCTCAATGACGGACGGACTTCGCTGACACTGCGCGATTATAAGTTGAAGATTGTATAAGAGCTAACTGAGCCTGCGCATCTCAAATGTCGTGATCCTAGCAGCCCGAAGAAGCGGGCTAAACCCAGCAGAACACTCGAAAGTGATGGGAAACCTAAACAAAGGGCAATTGACCTGTCCGCTGTGCTCGATGCGGAGAAAAAAAAACAAGACTGACACGGGATACACAAAATGTAGGAAATGTTTTCACGTCAACAATTTCGCCGTTTTCCATAGCCGCCACGGTCTTTATTCAGAGAGCTTTACTGTTCAACATGCGCTGCGTGCAATCGCAATGGACCTCGCTGGAACACCACTACACAAAACACGACGACGTCAAACAGACAGAATCATGACACTAGACCTGGTAATTCTGCCTCCCGTACCGATCGTTTCGACTTCCGGTGAAGCAATGTGATACTGTACAAGACCAGAGCGCTCCAGCAAGTACCCGTGTTTTTTTTCTCGACCAATTCATTTTGTGATCTTCACATCAATACATCTTAATATTTTGAAATCTACTGCTCTGTTTTGCAATGCCCACGTTATGCTACTACTGCGCCTTCGGCTGCTTGCCGCCGTATGCCAAGTAGCACAGGGTTACCGGCGTACCCTCGTATGCGTTCGCGACGCTCTAGCCGTCTCCGCGGTTCTGCTACTCGCTTTCGTCTTGGCTGCGCCAGTACCTATGTTATTGTACGCCGCTGATAAAGGCACACAAAACCCACGAACCAGTGCATGTACGACTCGCAGGCCGACGTGAACGTGGCCTGCGCTTTCACCACGACATCAGCTGCCACCTTGTTCATCCTGACCAGCTCCAGCAGCTCAGAGATGCAATGTCGGTTTCCTCCATTTCGCTGGCCTTCACATCGCTACGGGTGTGGTAGCCGTTCTGCCGCGCCCTACGGGCATCGACTCCCAATTTGTCATGTGCATGTCTAGTGCCGTTGCTCACCCGTTGGCCTATTGTGTAGCCATCAGCGCCAGAAGCTCAGTTCTGATGTCCAGTAGGGCAAGGCCTCGAGGATACTCGGCAACACGGTCAGGTCCGGGTGCAGCCAAGATCGCGACCAATGAACCGCCCGTGCCAGACGTAGTTTTTGATTCTTCGTGCCATCTCGGTTACAATAGCTGGGGTAGGACAGGCATGTCTTGCAAAATAGAGCATTTTCGGTATGATTACCGCGCTTGCAACTAGACTACGCTGGTCGGCTGTCAGACGTTTGTTACATGCCAGCCTGAGACGGATCGTCAGCTGTTGAACCGCTTTGGTCTAGGTCCAAAGAGAGTCGATTTCGTTTCCAACTTGAATCCCCAAGTATCGGCAACTCGCGGCCGCGGATTGGTACCGCAGCGGAGATGGCAATGCCATGTTCTGCGTCTTCCCATGTGGGTGTAGGGCGATCACAACCGTCTTCTCTGTATTAATCTGTAAGCCCGATGTCTGCCCGAAAATCTCCACCACCCGTAGCGGCGCAGGTATTTGTGCTAGGTTTCTGACAACCGTTGCCGTATCACCAGCATATCCAGCTACCCGGAGCTCGAATCGGCCTGCCTCTGATTGTACGATCACTTCACGTGTACCCATGAATCCGTCGATCTTACGGTAGAGTGGACCTAACGCTAGGATGAATAACATCGGCGCCAGTGGGCAGCCTTCGCGGATCCCGCTGGTGACGAATACACATCTAGACGTGGTTCCGTTGACTAAGAACCGTGCTCGAGTCCCGTCGTATGTGTTTGCAATGGCCGTGACGAATTTCTCGGGATAGCCTTTTTCCGTAGAATGGAGAGCATGAAAGCTCTATCCAAGGAGTCAGATGCCTATTTGAAGTCGCGTAGGAGAGCTGTCGCCTCCCTCGGAGTTACATCTACCAGTATCATGTGCTGTGCTGCGTCGTAGAGGTCAATTGTGTCATGTATAGTACGACCCGAGACGAAGCCATTCTGATTAGGATGAATTATGATCCGGCATAGTAATTCCAAGTCTAGCCGCTAGTATCTTCATGAAAATGTTTTAGTCGGAGAGCGATGGGGCATTGCTCGACGAGCCGCCCTTCTTAAGGCAGAAAATGTCGACATCCAAGAACGTAGGTGGGAAGAATCCACTATCGTACCACAGGTTGGAGAGCACTGTAAGAATCTGGCATAGCATATCTTCAACGTCTCGGTGCCATCCATTCCCCAGTCGATCAGGGCCTGTGGCCTTGCCTCGTTCGCATTTTCGCAGTGCCGCGCGGACTTCCTCCTCTGTGATCGTCGCTACCACTGTCATTTGAGCTTCAGTAGCCGCAAGACCCGTTGGTATCCATAGTTCGACTTCACTGATGTGAAGGGGTGAGTTGGAAGCTGGCTGTAAAATTCACCTCCACGCGTCCGCCATGATATCCGCTTTTTCATGGACGTTTCTGGCAGGGCCTCCTGGCGCTGGATTTGATCCGTGTATGATGTTGTCGTTGAATTTGCTGAAGGTCTTCATGAAGAAGGACTTAGTTGTTTTGTTTGTCCGGTGTGTGGCAGCTTGAAAGCGTTTCTGTTGCCCCAACTCGTTCCGTGCTTGCTTACACTCTGCGATAGCTCGTCTAAGTCGCTTCGCTTTGGTGGGCCCCTCTGAGTTGTATAAAATCAGACCGTCTTCGGATATCAGTGATAGTGGCTACCGAAGGGATCCGACCTTATCTCTCTTCTTGAACCCTCCTTTGTTGTTTGACCAACCTCATCAGTTTCTGTTTTAGCGTTCGCTTTCAGGCACGTTTGCACTCTCGTATGGCAATCCGAGTTCTACGCGCCACCTCTAGCTTCAGCGCCTCCCAAAGCGCAACCGCTTCCTCCGCTGAGCACCTTTCTGTTTGTATTCGATCGAAACAAATCTTCAGTAGCTGGGTGGTGACGGCGGTTACAGCTGCTGTAGCATACGTTGGTGCTATATGTATCCGCGCTGGCCTTCGTATCCGGACGGGGTCGTCAGGAGGTCTGACATGGATCTTGGATTCAAGATGATCGGTCTTCGGTCCTAGTTGTACTGTGTTTTAAGCCGCAACCTACGGCAGCGTGTTAGGGGACGTATACTACCTGTCTAGCGGAGACGAGGCGCCGCCGCAACCCGAGACTATGTAATGGTATGTATGGGTCCCGAAATAGTGCCGTTGAAGAGAACTTGTAGTCTAGTCTGTTGGTCGTGCGACTGCAATCGGGTCAAATAGTCCCCACAATTCTAGAAGAGCTCGAATTGCATGAGAGTCGTGTCCAAAAGCACCAGTGTGGTAAGTGCGGTCGGCGTGGCCATCGAGTGTGCAGTTAAAATCTCCACTAACAAATAGGAGCGCTTCCTTCGGGAAGCTGATTTTCTGAAGGCTCATATAGAAGAATTCTCTGTGTGCCGGTGCGTGGGGAGTGTAAATATTGCATATATAATCTGGTGTTCCATCAAGTGTACCTTGTATAGGCATAAAAGGCTCGGTCGATTGGTCCTGTATGTAAGGGGACATCGCCTTAACAGCTCCGTACGGATTGGCAAGAATGGCCACTCCGCCTCGGTTCGTCGTCGGACTTCAGTACGAGTATCAGGTTGCCCCGGTCCCGTTCTAAATCCCCTGCGAATGGCAAACATTATTGTATTGTCTCCCACCTCAGACGATGTCACGTGATATTCCTGAAGGATGAGTATGTCGGTGTTTCCATTCTCATCAGAGTTATCAAAAGCTTTGAACCACTTGGCACACACCACGTCGTTAGCCCCTAATCCATTTACATTTTGTGCTTTCAACCCAAGTGTACGTTCCAACTTGTGTAGCGCAGAATCGGCTGCCCGTTCCATTCTAGCAGCCGCTTTGAGGACTTTCTTGCATCGTTTAGTCCGTTGTTTCTTGTCGTCAGTAAATTATGGTTCTAGTAGTGCAAATCGGTCCGTTGCAAGCACCGGAAGCATCGATCGGTGGTCTACCCTCTGTGGCCGTCCTTTCACCGAGTCAATACCTGTGTCAGATATCTTATCTTGTAGCGAGTTATACAGATTCGATTTCGCTCGAGGACGTTCCTTTCGCGATGATAGGATCTTAAATGATGTCGCTTGTGGCAGAGTAGGGTCTAGCTCGAGCCTTGCAATCGCCTCAGTCTGATCCCCCAGAGGCGATGATTCCGACACCGAGGTGGCATTAATTCCGTGTGTTGGGATTAGAGCCATCGAGAGCTCGGTCTCGACGCTCCTTCCACGTGTGTCCTGTTGGTGCCAAGGTGGCTGCACGCCAGTCCTGAACTTCGAATTCCATGACACAACTGGCGGACAAACGGGAATTCCTCGTACCACGTGGCCCGAGCACCTAGGGGAGCCCGCCCCATTGGTGTAGCTATCCAGTCACACACAACATGTGGCAAGATGTGAAGTATGTGCCATGCTTCTGTACCAATCTATGTTGGTTGAGCTCTATAATATGTGGTGGGGACTCGTTGGTCAAGATGTCCCCATTTATCGCGGTCATTCGCGTTTTGACTTCTTTGTGATTGCTTAATGGCCGGATCTGTGCACTCCACATGCCATTTTGTGCAGTATTCTCGAATCGAGCCATCAGTACTATCATCGGCTGCCAATCTACTTAGGGCCGCAGCCTGTTCGGCGAAGTTTTCCGTAGCTCCCAACCGTAGGAGACTATCATGGGACCACCTGGGTTTAGCTTCATACTCCGGGATAAGGATGAACACGAAAAAGTGTCGGGTGCTTCAGGGTGAGCAAGAAGCCAGTCTTGTATGTCGGATTGAGGAGGCCTTCCTTCGTTTTATCTTGGGCAAGGCAAGTTTTTCCTTGAATAGGTCACGCCATTTGATGAATGCGTCTTGGTTGGACGAGGCTATTAAATCCTTCAAAGGTCCATAGACCTTCTCCTTCGGCACGGAGTTCGATTGTCGGAGGACGCGAAAGTAGGTGTTGGCAAAGATGTCCTCGGATGCAGCCTTGGCGTATCTCTGTGGGAGACTACTTCTATGGTGACCTCTGTGCTGGTCCTCTTTAGTCGAAGCTGTGTATGTGTCCATTCCGTAAGCTTCGTGTATGAGCTGCTTTTCGATCTGCAGAGCGTCATCCAAGTCAGATTTTAGCGGGTGAGACTTAAGGATCGGAAGCCCCAGTCTAGCGTGAACGAAATCGAGGCGTGATCACATTTCCGGCCGTTTGATGAACAGGTTATTCCCTTCAGTGGTGTCCGAGCGATAATTAATAGTAGCCAAGTCTACTGATCGTTCCATTTCCGTGAGGGAATTAAAAGCTTTCTTCCCCAGATAGGAATTCGATATGTCCTTCGCAAATTCCTCTGCTCTCCACTTCAGGAAAAGGTCACCACGCCTGACTCCGCAGAAGTGACTTTGATCATGTCAAGGTACCAAGAAAATAGGCAGCACGTGTAGCGACCAGCAGGCATGGAGCTAATCGCTAGCATCTTTGTCGGATAGCGGCACGACATGACTTGTTTCGTGATCGGTGTTATCGGCAAGGCGATGGGGTTTGTAGGAATAGCTTTGCGCGTGGCTGTCCATAGAGGTCAAGCACTACGATTGACTCTCGAAGATACTGGGCTATAGCTCAAAGCTCATGCGGGCCCGCCCAGAAACTAGAAGGAACTGTTATCCCTACCGTCCACATCCTATCCTGGTTAACGTGTCCATAAAGGGCTGCTGTCGCCGCCTCCTTGGACGTATAGTCGGGTTGGCTCGGATAAGTTTGGCGTACTCCGCGATAGGGTCCACTACTCCCAGTGCCACATCGTTCCGTAGGTTGGACATCAGTTATGAGTAGATATGGTTTTCTTAGTGAAGTCGCCTCACGCTCCACCACTTTGGTAGTTCTGAGGCTTCCTGCAGCGTGATTGACTGTGGATGCGTAAAGTGCCAGGAAGGCTAACTGCCCATTCGCCTCTACTTATACCAATGTTCCATCAAAGATGGCCAACCATAGTCCTTTTTGGATAGAAAGGTCTGAATCCCCGACGGCCGTACCAATCCGCGTCGGCCATTTCCTCCTGTGAGTCAGGGGTTGTCGGGACTACATTCTCAGTCCGGGAAGCGGAAGACCCTGCCGTGGTGACTCTCGCGTGAAAACGCTTTTTATTGGTTTGTATGTAAGTCGCATGTTTGCTTGCATAGCTTTAATAGCACCGTCTTGAAGTTCCTTGGAGTAGCCGGGAAAGCGACTTCGACAGCTACACCCCGAGCAGAACCGACCATGTATCGGAGCCTGCGAACGGGGCTGACGAGGAAGGATTCAAGCTGATACAGAAGTAAACACGAAAAGCTTCAAAATCGACTCAAGAGAGTCTCCCCCCCCTAGGCGACAAGATGGGCGCACCCCATGAAATCGTGCATGAGGGCAATGCTGCCCGGATGCATCCGCCCTCCCCCTCAACACGGCCTCGTCGCAATAAAAACTCATCAGTCAAGAAGGATGACACCATAATCAATGGCAGGTCAGGTGGAGCACGAACGGTTTAACAACAGGAAGAAAAAGCAAAAGCTTCGAGCACTTTCAACACTATGAAGCTATTGGTGTGCACAGTGTGCTTGCAGAGCCTGGGC